AATTAAAGAAGTGAAGTTATACCGCCTTCGTGAGGTTTAAAATTACGGCATTCTATTCTCAGGTCTCCTTACACCCGGTTGTGTTGGACTATCCTTGGTCTAATTAGTTTACTGTTAACCTTTGTATACCTGTACTGTCTATGTATATTGTTTGTTTACATGTGTTGTTTATGTATATTGTTTGTTTACCAGTACTGCCTTCTGTTCCTACCCTCTCATTCCTCTCTCATAATTACCTACAAAGACTTCTGGCTCGTTGTCATCAGGAGAGAGAGAGAGAGAGAGAGAGAGAGAGAGAGAGAGAGAGAGAGATCGTTGTGTATAATATATTAATGTGACACTGTTTATAGTCTTACCTGTGTCACTGTTAAAACTCTAAGGGTTAATTAAAGATCATGTCTGGCTGGTTTAATTTCCCGTGGATTATTACGATTCACCACTACCACCAACAACAACAACAACACCACCAACCTTCGACAACACCACCAACATCGACAACACCACAAATAGCAACACCATCACCAACAACACTAATACCACCAAGAAACAACCACCACCACTAACAACATCACTAACAACACCACCACTAACACCACCACCACTAACACCACCATCATAAACACCACCACCACTAACACCACCAAAATCACCACCACCACCACTAACAACACCAACACCACTTACACCACAGCCAGCCATCTCTCTGAACATATCGAATTATTTAGTCGTAGTCAAAGCCAAAAAGGAAAAAAAAATAGCTCGGGAGAGAGGAATAAGGAAATAGCAAATAATAGAAGCATTTTCTCCCCTTTAATAGAATTAGTAATGGGATTAATATGAAGCGTGAGTGGTATAGCTTGTGTACAGTATGTGTGATGATGGCCGCTGTTTGTGTTGACAGGATGATGTGCAGAGAAGAAACTTTACAGTACAGTAAATCTTCCTATTTTTTCTGTATAAATTGTGTAGTGTCCTGTCTATCTGTATGTCTGTCTCTGTCTGTCTGGCTCTCCCCTTCCAGAAGCTATGAAGTGCCTCCTATTCCTCCGTGCTAGGTCAACACTTGGGGTGCTTGCTTGGTAAAAATCAACTCCTTCGACAGTTTGCTCAGAAATGTTTCTGTTACTCAGTAGAGAATATTTTTGGATGGACACCAGATTATTATTATTATTTTTTCATCTTTCACCATTAACCGAACATCTACGTTTCATTTTGATATTTAACTCATAAAACAACAAGAAAACTGCCATTTATGTATATTGTACTTATTAACTTATCTATATCGACATAAAAGTAAATTAACTTATATTCATTTCAGACAATTTTTTTTTCGAGGTGTATGCACGACTACGAACAAAAGTGCAAGTCATCACTGTTTACATTATTTTAGTGTCACCCGCGACTATTGCTATACCCTGCCTTACACTTATCCAGAAGTGATGAATAGCGTGGATGTGTGTGTCCTTTTGTTTACAGCTGGAGTTTGTTTTTGTGTTCTGTCTTGAAGGAAAGCTTGTACTTGCACTGTACTTTCCTTCCTCTTCCTCTCCTTCAAATTTAAATCTCTATGTCCTTATTCCTTCTCCCCCTTCTTTTCGTCCTTCCATTCTCTCTGTTCATCTCCTCCTCCCCCCCTCCTTGCATTCTCTCGCTACACACCTCGTCCTCCTCCTCCTTTCCATTCCCTCTCTCCGTCCCTCTTCTTCCTCCTCCTCCTCCTACTCCTTTCCATTCTCTCTCTCTCCGTCCATCCTCTTCCTCCTTTCCATTCTCTCTCTTCACCCATCCTTCTCCTCCCTCCTCCCAGCCTCACCTCCCTCACCAAATTCAGTAAAGGTAAATATTTCACGACGTCTGCAGAAATCAGATGGTTGTGTTGACTTCAAGTTCCTCCACCTGACGATGCTGACGTAACACCCTAACCCCCTTTGTATGTAACACACTATGGGTGATAATGTTCTCTCTCTCTCTCTCTCTCTCTCTCTCTCTCTCTCTCTCTCTCTCTCTCTCTCTCTCTCTCTCTCTATTCCATTTTTTTTAACAAAGTATCCCTCCCTTGTATTCACCACTTCTCTTCCATGTCTCCTCTTTCTCATATTCTACATATTTTTCTCATTTTCTTTCTTTCTATTCCTCTTTACTGCTCTCTCCAACTTCTCGTATTCTATAACGTCAAAATTCATCCTTTATTTTTTTCTTTCTTACCTCCATTTTCGTTCACACATCCTCTTTCTCCTCCCTCCGTCTCCCTATTCTGTCACAATAATTTTCCTTTTTTTCCCTGCCATAGTTCTTTCTTACTTCCTTCTGTGTCCAATATTGTCACCTTTATCTTTTGTTCTCATTTTTACTGCGTTTCCCTTTCCTCCATCATCTCCTTTTCCTTTCTCCTCCTCCTCCTCTTCATTTCTTCTTCATTCTCTCATCCTTCCCTACTCCCTCTATCACCCCTCTTTCCTCCCTCTCCCCCTCCTCCTTTTCCTTCCATTCCTCTTCTTCCCCCATCACTCCTCTCCTCCCATATATGAAACGTGAGCTAATTACCTATCGTCTTTATATACAACACACTTTCCCTGGTTAACTTGTATATGCCCACTGAGAGATTCATCTACCATTATATCCTGTTATGTTCCACACAGGTATTCATATCCTGTCTCATCATTATCCTGTCACTTTAAGGTGGCATCTAAGTCACCTTCACGCCACATTAACCTGATAACTAAGCATGCCTTTGGCCAGATTAATTTTGTACCTCACACCTCCCAGACGTGTAAGTATGACCATAGGCTCCAAGGCTTCAAGCACTGAGCCTATTATATCATGTGGCTCTGTGTTAGTTAAGCCGTACATAAACCCAACAGACTTAGACAAAACTTATTTTATTTTTTATTATATATAGAAAAGGATGTTCGTGTTTAATTGAAACTTTCATATATAGTATTGATGACTCACGGTGAATCTAACAGGACGTAATATTAACAATCAACTAAGTATGACAGTGGTGAAGATTACATACTGTTATAAATCTTCACCTCAGAGTTACATTACCCGGAACACTCCATCTACTCCATCACTCCACTCGTATCTCCATCACTCTACACCTCCATTCCCTTCTTATCATTTAATTTCTACCTACATCATTCCTTCCTTCTATCTCCATCACTCCTCACTTCTTCCTTCATCATTCCTCCATCCTCTACCATTCTTCCCTTCTCCCTCCATCATTCTACTCCTACCTCCCTCACTCCCCCATTCTCCCTCCATCCTTCCACTCCTCACTCATCCATCCTCCCTCTGACATCATTACCCTACACTCACTAAGTTGCCAGAGACAACATTTCCACCTACCTTACCTACATTACTCTCTCCTAACACCTTAAGGAGTGTCTTACCTGGCTTATTAACATAATGGAGATGCCTTACCTCGTTCAGAGAGACCTCAAAGGGTTAGAACATCGTCTTCATCAAAAGGTTAAGCCATAGTGCTCAAAGGGATAAATTATCATCATCATCATCATCATCATCATCATCATCATCATCAATCATCATCATCAATCATCATCATCATCAAAGGCTTAAATCTTCCTGCTCAAACGGTTTTAAATCAAGGTAACTAATTAAAACTGTAAAGTGAAGTGAGTCAATGAGGAAGAATGTGTAGAACTTCTCGGTGATGTATTGTCGATGAGGGTAAACAACAGGTGAGGGGAAACAGGTGAGGGAAACAGGTGAGGGGGAAACATTGGGTGAGAGAGACGATGGAGGGAGGTTTAGCAGCACCTGAATGACACAATACAGGAGGTTGCCTTTTTTTGGGGGTGGGGTAGGTGAGGGAGAGGGGTGAGGGGAGGGGTAGGTGAGGGGGTGAGGAGGGTTGAGGGAGGGGTAGGTGAGGGGTGAGGGGTGAGGGGAGGGGTGGGTGGGAGGGGGTGAGGGTGGAGGGAGGGTGGTGGTGAGGGGTGAGAGGGGTGAGGGGAGGGGTAGGTGAGGGGTGAGGGGGGGAGGAGGGGGGGTAGGTGGAGGGGTGAGAGGGAGGGAGGGGTAGGTGAGGTGAGAGGGGTGAGGGAGGGGAGAGGGGTGGAGGGGTGAGGGAGGGGTAGGGTGAGGGGTGAGAGGGGGAGGGAGGGGTAGGTGAGGGGTGAGAGGGGTTGAGGGAGGGGTAGGTGAGGGGTGAGAGGGGTGGGGAGGGAGGGGTAGGTGAAGGGTGAGAGGGGTGAGGGAGGGGTAGAGGGGTGAGAGGGGTGAGGAGGGTAGGTGAGGGGTGAGAGGGTTGGTGACCACAATCAGCACGATATATATATTTTGTTTTTGTCTACTTTTCTGTTTTGTTTTTCTGTCTATGTTTTTTAGTTGTTTGCTTGAAGGTATACGGCTACATAATGGTGAAACACACACACACACACACACACACACACACACACACACACACACACACACACACACACACACACACACACACACACACACACACACACACACAAGTGGGCGTATATATCTTTATGTTTGCGAATGTGCAACCACTAGAAGGCACACAGCCCTCCAACTACACCGAATGTTTAGTTCAGTCTCATGAGAGAGAGAGAGAGACGAAAATGAAAAAGAAAGAAAAAAAGACAGATAGACAGATAATATATTGATAGATAATATAGATAGATAATATAGATAGATAATATAGATAGATAGAAACTTACCAAGGCAGCAGCAGCAGGAGAGCAGAATCCCAGGGGGGACAAAAACAGCCGCAGCTGTAGTAGCAGTAGTAGTAGTAGGAGGTGGAGGTGGAGGAGGGGGAACTACGTAGCACCCCAGTCATCTTACGCCTCATTCTCTATAGACGCCACAAACTCTATAGAAGCCACAAACGACACCGCTTTACATGACTCATAGGATCAAATACTTTACCCCGAGTCTATAAAACAGTTCTGTAAGACACTCTAATCCTCTTTCTATCTCATATAACCTTATTTTCTTGTTTTTCTTTTGTTTTTTGTTTGTTTTGTTTTTACCCAGTGTCAGTTATATTGTATTAGGTGATGTGAATTTTACTCTCACAATCACTTGGTATCTTGTGCATGTTGATGGTCTGGGCAGCTGCCATCTCGAGTCACTT